GCTGCTGCTGCTACTTGAGATGTCCATCCCTGGTCTGCGTGACGCAGAACGGCGCCTCTTGGGGCCCTCTTGGAGCCATCCTGGTGCCCTCTGGGAGCTGTGTCGGACCTTTAGGGGCGGTCTCAGGGGCCCTCAGAAGGCCCCAAGAGGGGCTCTTGGGCTCTGATGGGCCCCAGACCTTGGATGCGAACCTTGCGTCCTAGGTTTGCCCCTTCCGATGGGCCATCTTGGAGCCCTCCTGGAAACATCTAGGGGCCCTCTGGGAGCCGTATCGGGGCTCTAAGGGCGGTCTCAAGGGCCCTCAGAGGGCCTCAAGAACGGATTTTGTTTTGTCCCCCCCTGATTCAAGGCTTTTTTCCCGAGGCCCTTTCGGAGCCCGAGACAGCCCACGACGCGCGCAAGACAGCCCAAGAAAGCCCCAAGACGAAGATGAGGGGGATTCAACGAGCGCGGCCAACCATAAACAAAACAAGCAAAGAACAACAACACATGGGAACAACACACATAACAAACAACCAACAACGCTATGTTCCGTTTAGGGCCGCGAGGGCCCGTGAAGGGCGGGCATTGCAATCTAATGTTGGATTTGTAATCGGATTTCGCACTAGCCATTTTGGCTCAATCAAGCTGTTCGTTCAGGCGCTCGTTGGCCATTGGGTCGATGCACTGGTTGGCCGATGTGTTGACGGGGACGCCCCCGCGCCGCAGCCACTATGATGATCGGGCAGAAGACTTGTTGAATCATCTGCTGGACAGCCCTCCTGGCAGAGGCTGTGGAGCAGGCGCTGCCGGTGCAACCAGGATGGCCAGGCAGCGCGTAGATGTTGCTAGTAGCAGCAATGCCCGCGGCCGCAGTGGCGCGCCTGCGGCCCGAGTAGAGGAGCAGCGCGCAGTAGCTAGGGCAGTCAGGCAGCGCGTTGGGAGCGCGGCGCCTGTGGCCCACGTGGTGGAGCAGACCTGTCCACCATCATTATTAGCTGGTGGAGTTCACCAGGAGAGCGCGCGCCTAGGTGGAGCTGGTGCCCACATGTCGCGGCCAGCTGGAGGCAGCAGGGTCGTTGCCAGAGCCGATGGACCAGGCGCCAGTGGAGAGGGCCAGCTGGAGGCAGCAGCAGGGCCGCTGCCAGAGCCGAGGGGGCAGCACCGCCAGTCGAGGTGTTGCCGGAGCATCGTCGTGCGGAGCCTGGGACATCCATCACCAACAACACACGTTGGTGGCAGTAGTGGAGAAGGCCGCGCGAGTGCGCAGCAAGGAGGAACCCCTGTTGTTGACGATGCCAGAACCCATGATATTGCTGGCCCCTCGTGTCCAGCTGCTGCTGACAACGCCCGGGCTCATGATGCTGCTGCGCCGCCCCTCGACACGTTCTACTTTCTTCGATTCGCGCCACAGAACGACACAGAGGTGGAGCGCGCCCGTCAGGCCCGCTGGGAGCGTGGGAAGGAGGAGGCCGAGGAGTTGATCACCGCTGCTCTCGAGCGGCATGGCCCTGATGTGGAAGCGGTGGCGCAGCCAATCATGGAGGTTCCCATGGAAGTGCTGCTGCAACGTGTGGCCATGGAGACAGCGCGGGTCACCCAGGGCGGAGGTCGAGCCTACATAGGCTCGACTTCTGACCCTGGGTGGCGGTGGCGCGGCGGATATTATCTACCATCTCCTGGCGATCGAGGCGGCCGCCGCCACAGCCATCATCATAGTGAAAGGGAGTTCTTTCCTGGCCACCACTTGCAATGGCGCCACCTGCTGGTGCTGGGATGCTGGCGTGATCATGAGACCCGTCTCATGGAAAGTGAAGCTATCAAGCAAGGGCAGAGGGTTGCACCTGGGCGTCTGACTAACAAAGCGTCAGACGCCCGGGGGCTGCAGGTCCGCCCCTGGAGTTTCTCCTTCGTCTACATCTGCTATGGCACGAAATAATAGATAGCAGAGGCATCAGAGTTTATCAGATAATAATGTTTTGCATGCTTGCTACCGTGCCCCCAAAATAGCAGTGTGCAGTGCGCCTTGCACTCATATTGTAATGTATTCTCACTGGCGCAAGCACTGGTTCCGCCATGAAAGGCAATCAATATGCAGTCAAACACGGTCAGATGTGCTGGTCCTCCTCTCCTCTTCCATGTCTCCTCCTCCTCCTCCTCCTCCTCCTCCTCCTCCTCCTCCTCCCCCTCCTACCCCCCCTCCTCCTCCTCCCCCTCCTCCTCCCTCCCTCCTCCTCCTTCCTCCTCCTTCCTCCTGCCCTCTTCCTCCTCCTATTGTCCTCCTCTTCCTCCTGTCTGTCCTCTTCCTCATCATTTGTTGGGGGCCAAAGCACTCTTGGAGTCCGTGTGGAGCAGACTTTTTTTGGAGCTGATGCTGAGATGCGCGGGATTCCCCGGAATCCGGCGCATCTCGGCGCCTGTCAGCATCAGGGCCAAAAAAAATCAGGATCTTGGTTGCATATCTTGATGGAGCAAACGGACCGCGCACCAAGGGGGGGCCGCGCAAGTCGGGCCCCTGGATCCAAGGTGCGAGATGCGCGGGCTTCCCCGGAAGCCCGCGCAAGTCCTGAGGGCAGCGGCGGCCCCGCGCAAGTCCCCCCCCCCGTGGACCCCCCCCCCACTTGTGCGGGCCCCCGCTGGGTAGCACGACTTGCGCGGGCTTCCTCGGAAGCCCGCGCAAGTCCACCCTCTCCTGGGGGCCCTCGAGTTGTGCAGGATCTCTGGGGACTCTCCTGATGTACATCCCCCCCTACCTAACTGTTGATAGCATTGCCCATGAAGAGAACTCCATGGCTATGATGGCCCAAACAGGTTCCTGTGCCACGCGGACACATCAATGTAGTTGTCATTAGCTTTGCATTCAAGCACGGTTTGCGATGGCTGACGACAACATACCCACATCGTCCAAGTGGTCATCAGGATGGCTAGACGATGGATGGCAAGGCGACGCTGCTTCTTGGTGGACTTGCGATCCTACTTATCCTGGAAACCAAAGTGCCTGGGGTCCTGGTGGAGTTTCAAGTGGTGATGCCTGGTGGTGGAACAATGGGGCTCCTGCTGGTGGGTTTGATGACATGGCGCACTGTCAAATACCTGGTGATCATGATCATGATTCTGACTTGGGTCACCCGGCCTGGGACTACGCAGCCTGGTATCGTGCAGAAGAAGAAGTCGCTGCTCAAGCTGACCAGGCTGCTCAGATGGCCGCTCAGAGTGCTCCGCTCATTGACGACGAGTTCGAACGCATGGCGGCCGCAGACGTTGAGAGCAAGGTCAATTCACGGACGTTGGTGGACATAGAGGGGTTGACATTGCCAACGCCGCCTGGCTCGCGTGCGCAGCTCAACGTCATGGACGACGAGTTCGAACGCATGTCGACCGCAGACGTTGAGAGCAAGGTAAATTCACGGACCTTGGTGGACATAGACGGATTGACATTGCCAACGCCACCGCCTGGCCTGCGTGCGCGGCACAAGAAGTTCATTCCAGAACCTAGTGACATGGCTGGGCAAGAACTCCGACGTTTGCGGGACAAGAAGAATGCGCGTGAGGCAGTTCGCAAAGCTAAAAGACGGGCCGAAAAACAAAAGCTCGAGGCACAGCAGCAGCATCAGCAATCGCAATATAGCAAGCATCCTCATGTGTAGTTTTCGCAGGCGCAGCAGTGTCAGCATAATTCGCAACACGCTGCATGCACTGCATTGTATTATGATATACAGGTAAGCGGGTTGCGTTCTCGCTAGCCTACATGCATTGTGAGTGAGTGTCCGAGTGCGCCTTGGAAAAAGCAAGCAGGGGGGGTGAGTCGAGCGACTTCGCAAGGAGGTGCTAAAGGGTAGCCACATGGTGGCAGCCCTGCTACAACTCGCAGACTGTACATCTTACCCCTCCTGCCGCTAGTTGTGCGAACTCATGGTAGCCAGCTTGCTGGCAACCATGCCCCTACTGCTACTCATGGTAGCCAGCTTGCTGGCAGCCATGGTGCATCGATTGCTCCCCCTCCCCCCCTCCTCCTCCAGATATGGACGACGATGCAAATGACGAGTGCGACACGACGATGATACTGGTAGTGGTGGCGAGTTTGGTACAGATCAGTGCGTAGTAGTGGGGCCGAAATGTGTTATGGTCTCGTGGTTGTGTTGAGCGTTTTTGGGTATGTCTAGGGGGCTGCCGCTGTGTCACAACACGAGATTTGTGATGGGGGTGCGCTCTAAACAGCTGTGAGTGCATGGTGAATCTGCTCTGTCTGTGGGGGCAGTCTCCCATAAGAAGTACATAGCTGTTCTGGCTCTGCCTGAGGGGATGCATTTTTTTCCTGCGCCTGAGCTTCCTGGCATCAGGATGTCTTGGAACATGGGGAAGGCCCCCCTGTGGATGCAGCAGGGGGATGCTCCACTCCACCAGCAGGAGGGGCCGCCTCTGCAACGCCAATCCCCCCCCTGGCGACGCATGCGCTGCCCAGCCCGACCAGCCCCATGGCCTGCACAAGCGTGGATCATCAAATTGGTTTGGGTGATGTGCAAGAGGACCAGTCTACGGAGACCCGCGAGGCCAACATCATTGGGGAGACCATTCGAGCGATGCACACGCTCAGCATCCAGCATGGCAGCCTCAAGACCTACCTCAACAAGGAGTTGGACAGCTTCACTGCGAAGAAGGAGTTCCTTGAGTACCTCAAGCGAGTGTTCCCCGAGAAAGACGACGTTCACTACGAGCATGGCGTGTTGGACCCGATCCTGGAGATGGATAGGGCAGGGTCTTTGCCTCAATGTGTGCATGTCTCAGCGCTGAGCTTCCTGCCTGCATGCAGCCTCAAGCCTCCGCCAGGCTGCGACGTCACAGATCAATTGGTCGGTGAGATATTCCAGGACGGCTTCGTAACGGCTTCGGACCCTTTGTTGGTTACTCAACCAGCTGAGCTTGCAAGTCTTAGCGAGGATGACGATGCGCGTGGCTTCTATCTTGGCTATGCCAAGGGTCAAGCCCGCGCTGTGGCCATCTTATCCATCCTGCTCTACTTCATGAAGAATGAGTACGACCTCAAAGTGGTGCATCTGAAGCTTTATGAGAGCATCCTCGCCATCTATGTGCATTCCATGAAAGTGAACTCCAAAGAAGAAGAGGCCCTTCTGAACATGAAGCTCTCGTGCAGAGGTTCGATCCGGCGTGCTAACAACATCGTGGAAGTGGTCTTCATGCTGCAGAACCTCTCGAACCGTTATGGCATGAGCGACTCAGCTGGCTTCGTGCGCCGGTGGTGTGGACAAACAAACAAAACCTAAAAACGAAGTGTTCGGTGTGGAGTGTCAGTAGATATGTAAGCAATTGTGAGTAGTTCTCATTGTGCCGAATTTCTTAATGTGAAAAGCTGTTCAGGGGATGGGGTCATGCCGTGCGCCAGCGTGTGCGCGCTGGCCCTGCACTGCCCCTCGTGATGGTCAGGCCTGTGTCCAAAACTTGTGATGCATTCTGGACCCCTCTTCTGCCAGGTGGAACAACATGTCTTCCAAGCAGTTCCAGATCACTGGGAAGAGGGCTGTGGCCTTGAAGCAGCTACTGGAGGTGGCACCCAAGAAAGCCCTCGATTCCATCTTGGCTCACGTGGGGAACCTGGGCTGGCAGCAGTGCGCGTGGTCCGAGGAGGTGCTGTCCAACAAGAAGATCTACCCAAAGTTCAACTTCCCTTGCAAATCTAAGAAGTGGATCCCACGAGTGAGGACCACTGACGAGAGCCTCTGCTTGATGATCGAGCGGGTCCAGAACCTACATGAAGCTCAGAACCAGATGCTGCGCATGAAGATGACCCCGCATGTGGCAGAGATGATGGCTGAGAGCGCAGCTGCTGTGCTTGCCATTGCGCAGGAGATCAGCTTGACCGCGCCGATTGACGATGCGAAGCTTCAATCATCATGGGTGCGAGCATGGGCTGAGGGCTCGGACCACGTGCACACGGAGATCCAGATGGGGCTGATGGAGAAGAGCGACAGCTTCGACCCGGCAGTACACCTATCAACGATGAAGCGCCTACTGGACGAGCACATTTTCCAGGCCCCCCTGGCGCCTGCAGAAGAGGTCAAGCGGTCCCTCGACGTGGACGAATTCAACCTGGACATGAAAAAACTAGAGTACGATACTACGGTGTTCGAAAACTGGGAGAAGAAGTGCGATAATGTTGTCGCTGCCCGCTACCATGCAGAGCAGGAACCATCATGAGGAAAAAAAACGAACATATCTAAAAACACAGCGTTGGCTGCTCGAAACCCCTGCGATATGACATACTCCCTAATCCTCCTCCTCATCATCTCCACTCCTCCTCCCTCCTCCTCCCCCGTTTCCCCCATCTGCCCTCCCTTCTACTCCTCCTTCTCCTCTGCCCTCTGCCTGTTGGAATGTGCAGTGGACCCTCTGCCCTCCTCCTCTGCCCTCTGGTGCTCTCGTCTGCCCTCTCTCGCCCCCCTTCTGCCCTCTCTTGCTGACCCCTTACATGACGAATTCGAAGGAGAGGAGGGGGAGGAGCGGTATCGTCGTCATCGTCGTCCCAAGCTGTCACCCTTACCATGGCAGCCCCACTCAAACCTGAAGGGCACCTTACGCCTTTATAACCCAGCCCCAAGCCCTGAAACCCAACAAATTACAACGAGGGGTGGGCCTGTGACCGCGCCAAGCAGCCCGCCTGCAGGGAGCATCCGCATTGCACATTTTTCCCCTGCCTCCACCTTCGAAAAGGCCCGTGGGGGGCCCAGAGATACCAGGACGCCTAGGGGTGCCATCTTCTAGTGCTAAGGAGTCCAGGGCGCCTCGGGGGCCCCAGGGGCCCAAGAAATCGAGTTGCAGCAACATGTTAAGAACCATACCCTACACATTGACCTGCTATGTTTTCTGGAGTCGATGCTGGTGGAAATTGGAGCCCATTGGCAGGCCTTCAGAGATCCTTGGCAGTGGTGCTGTTTAGATAGAGGCTGATGCTTCTTGAGCCTCGGACAGGAGCACAAGATGAAGATCAAGGGCCAATGTAGGAAAGCAGCCGAGAAGTTCCTGAGTTCGTGCGTGAAGATTTCAGTCCTGACGGGCAAGGTGGAGGAGTGCATTGCAGACATCATTGCCTTCAAGCGCGACACGATCCAGAAGAAGACTGGAATCTCCATGGACGGGCTGCCCACGCTTGTCATGCTGAACTGGACCACCCCATGCTCGTCTCACAATGAGGATTTCGACAAGCAGGCGAAGGTTCTCAACTGGATCCTGCACGAGAATATCAAGAACGTCGCTTGTGTGCTTCTCCCGGTGTACTCGTACAACCGCGGGAAGCTGTACATGGAGGAAGTGAAAGCAGTGAAGGCCATTGGCGATGCTGGGCACAACCCGGACAGCAGCTTCAGCCTGCTCTTCAAAGACCAAGTCGATCCGAGGGACAGGCGGCCGATGAGCTACCCTGGGAGGCTGGTGTTTCCAGCGGGGTGTTCAGAACTAAAGGACCACCCGTTCTTCACCTGCCAGCTGAGGGTCATCGGGCGCACCAAGGAAGCGAACCAGATTCCTGGCAAAAAGATGAAGATTATCGAGGAGCTCTGGAAACGCAAGGGGTGACATATGTAAATAATGCATGCATGTCTAATCCTGTGTCGTGCGTTTTATATGTGCAGTGCATATTTTTTGTTGGCATTGGGGTATCATATAATGAGCATCTGAGCTGGTATATGTTATGAAGGGAGCATGAGTTAGAATAGTCAATATTTCATGGTAGGGCCCTACTGTTGTGCAGTATGTCGCTTGGGGGCAAACCTGACAGTCCAGGGAAGGGTCCTCTATGCATAGATATGGCCAGTCATTGTCCTATGAATGTGTCGGTCAACTGTTGTGACCTCCTCCTCATCCTCCCCCTCCTCCTCCAAGTCCTCATCCTCCTGCTGCTCCTCCTCCTTCTCTCCCCCCATCCTTATCATCGCATTTACCCCCCCCCCCTCTCCTCTCCCCCCCCCCCCCTCCTGCGTATTCCCTCCCCTATCCCCCTCTTTCACATCGCTGCGCCGCTGCCATCGGCGTCCAGGAGCGAAGGAAGAGCTCCTGGAACACTGACCTCTCCTCGGAGACCCCATACCTCAGAAAAGTTATGGGCGAATTCAAAGAATACTGCTCCTCCTCTTACCATCCCCCTACCCCCTGTGCCATTAAGATCCTGCAGGACCTCAGCGCGGATGCTTTGCCTCCTAGTACTGACCACCGAGCCTCCTATCTTCATGGCCCCCCAAAGTTCTCCCAGTTCGGGCCCGAGGCGAGCAAGTGCCTCCTTGAGAGCCTCACAACTGGGGCAAACCTAGGATCGCACAAGGCGTGTTTCATTCTGGACCTCAATATCAAGTGCGGCGAATTCCTGGAGTCCTTCATCTCCCAGCGCAACGTCCTTTCCACCAGTTTCTTTTACATGGGGATTGCGGAGACGATGCTGGAATACACGTGGGTAATCCATTCGATGCAGGAGCTCGCAGAAGAAAAAATCAAGGACGGTTCCCTCGAGGTCCCAGGGCTCAAGATGGACTCCAAACTCAACGACGACCTCCTGGAACCTTATCCGGCTCTTCCAAAGATGAATATGCTGGTGGTTAGCGGACCAGACAAGAACAAATTGTTCATCCCGGTCGAGGTGGTGAAGAAGTGGCAGAACCATCCGCAGTTCGGGGGTCAGTTCAGCGAGTGGCTGGACAAGTTCACCAAGAAGCATGGGGTCATCGAGGACACGACCAAGGCACCTGGTGCTGGTGCTGGTGGTGCTGGAGTCCCCAATCCCCTCAAGCGTGCAGCTGACGGTAACGATGGGATCCCCTCCCCAGCGAAGAAGCAGAAGGTTGCTGATGTCTGCGTGGTGGACGCCTCCAGCATCCCCCATGCGCTCCTCTGGGAGGTAAAGGTCAACACAAGCGTCCAAGTCCAGCTTCAGATCCGCGCTAACCACAACATCTACCTCATCAACAAGGAGTCCAAGGATATCAGCATTGCAATTCACACGATGCTGGCGCAGTTCGGGAAGGGAAGCTTTAAGATTCTCACACAAGAGGAGCTAGACAAGAAGAAACACCACCAGTGGGAGATCAAGGACGAGAAGGAGCTGGTGGTGATGAACAATGTGGTGCAAACTGTGGGAGCAGCTATGCAGGCTGTTGCCAATGGGGTGCCGAAGCTCGCCTACCACAAGATCACGATCAACGACGCAGACCCGAAGTGCTTCACTGCTGAGCTCACTCACAAGATTGCTTTCGTGGCTGCTGAAACTAGCTCAGAACAGGCTGCAGTCACCCCGGCCAACATCGCATCCAAGGAGCTCCCAAGTGTGTGGATGAACGAGGGCACCATAGTCATGTGGATGGTGCGCTGGAACTCGACCAAAGGATTGATGCCGATCAAGCCTGCAGTCTACCTCAAGGGAAATGTGACGCTGGGGGCGGGCAAGGCGTGCCACTGCTCAGCGGTGGCCACTGCTGCGTGAGGCTGGCCAGGACAGTATGTGGAAGCCAGTGCGCTGGCATCCATCAGATTTTGATTACATGCTGGCAGATGTTAGAAGTGACATGTGGTTGCCCCACCCACTTCTTCTTCTCCAATCACATGCCCCCCCCCAACCCGCCCCTGGAGCAACCACTTAGCAGACAGCTTGCCTGCGCAAGACGATGTTGGCATGTATTTTTTCGATGCCTGCAGAGGCCAGTGCAAGACGAGTTTGGCATGTATCTGGGGTGCCTGCAGGACTCTGAGTGGAAGTAACGCACTGTCGAGGCTGCAGGACTTGGGAGCTCACGTGATGTTCAGAGTCTAGTCATGGAAGTTGTCTGAAAGTGTTATCCCCACCTACACTGTGTTGCAATGTATCGCTATCTGCGTTGCATTTGTGTTGCAGTAGATGTTATGTGACGGGGTGTTGCAACTAGAATGCCCTTGCCAATCTATCGTGTTGGTAGAGATGCCCGTGCATGCCAGGGTGTAAGAGTGTTCCCGGATCCCCTGCTGAAAAGCAACACAGACACATATAAGCCTTACTGTTCCTTGCCAATGACTCCTCCTTGCTGCCGCTCGCTGCTGGGAGAAGGTGGACGGCGACGACGAGGAGGCAGGATCAAGGAGAACAAGAGAAAGCGCTGACATGCAAGCAAGCTGGCGGCCAGCAAGCTGGCGGCCAGCAAGCTGGCGGCAAATCAGGAGGATATGAGGAGCAGGAAAATATGGGATGAGGAGTACAATAACGAGGGAACAAGAGAGGAAGTAACATCATCATTATCATCACCGTTATCATCATACTAAAACCTCTGCTAGCTGTTCCACATGTCCTCCTCCTCTTCTTCCTTCTCCCCCTCCTCCCCCTCCTCCTCCTCCCCCCCCTCCTCCTCCTTTTCCTCCTCCCTTCTTCCTCCTCCTCATCATCATCATCAGCATCATCATTATCATCATCATCCATCTCTCTCGGTTGAAGGCCAGCTCGCTGGCCGCCAGCTTGTCGGCTACCATTTCTTTCTCATCCTCCCCTTTCTTTTCTCGTAGCCGTTTTGGCCCAATCTGTCAATGTCTTGTGGATGTGGGTTCGCAGTGCTCCTCAGGAGCGATGGCACAGCCGTGGGCTGCGGCTGCCCTGACAATGGTGTGCTGGACATCCCAGCGCTGCCGGACGGCCTCACCTACGCGGAGGTTGCCGCTGGGTGGATCTGTCCTCGCAGCGCTCGTCAGATCTGACGGCACTGTGGCGGCGCGCGGCGGAAATAATCGCAGCCAGTGCACCATCCCAGCGCTGGACCTATGTGTGACCTACACGCGCATAGCCGCTGGAGGCTGCAACGCTGTGCTGCTCAGGAGCGATGGCGCTGCTGTTTCCTGTGAGTCCGCACGCTGAGGGAGTACAGGTTCAGGCCTGAGGTGGAAGTAGCGTGGGTCCCAGAGTTGGGCCCAGGCCTCTGCTATGTCGCAGCGTCTGTCTGCGGGCAACGATCACATCGTGCTGCCGAGGAGCGATGGGGCCGCAGTACCCCATGGCCTAAAGCCGCCTAGGGCGCGCGAATTGGCCAGCCCGGCCTGCGAAATCCCAGCGTTGGTTGGAGTCCTGACCTACACTCAGGTCTCCGCTGGGACTTACCACGCGGTCCTGCTCAAGAACAATGGTACTGCTGTGGCCTGTGGCGACAACGAGTTCGAACAATGCGACATCCCGATGTTGGATGGAAGCCTGACCTACACGCAAATTGTGGCTGGAGGGCACCACGCAGCAGTCATGCTCATGAACGGTGGTACCGCTGTGGCTTGTAGCTCGAACGACAGCAGACAATGCGACATCCAGGCTTTGGACGGAGCCCTGGCCTACACATCAGCGCTGGCTGGACTGGACCAGACAGTCCTGTCAAAGAGCAATGGTGGCGCTCATGTTTTTGGATACAATGCAGAGGGTCAGTGTGACATTCCACTGTTGGGCGGTGGCCTGACATCCACGGCGTCGCTGACAAAGCTGCCAAGCGACGCTCGTCAGCGGTTCAATGCGTTTGTTTTCTGACCTTCAGTGGGGACGAGCGTTGCAGAATCGCAGACATCTACATGATGCTGCTGGTAGAACACTGTGCAAGCAGGTTGGGCCCTGCACCTTCGCGGATAGACGCCATCCTCCTGCCGAGTGGCAAGCGGTTAAGCGACGTCTCAAGTGAAGAGACGGTTGGGAGCACAATATTATTCTAGCCTGCTCGTTTTTTTGTTTCTGAAAGGGGTGCTGATGCCACCACTACTATGGCCTGGTGCTTCATGGCCCCCCTGCCTGGTCTGTCATCATCATGCCTGGTCAACCTTCCTGGTCCTGGTCCTGCCTGGTCTCGTTTATGCCTGCCTGGTCCTCCCACCATCCTGCCTGTTCTGCCTGGTCCCCCCCTCGCCTCCCTCCCCCTTTCCCTTCAACCTCTCTTTGTGGACATCTGACTGGGATGATTGCGGATGAGGAGGAAAAGGAGGAGAGGGGAGAAACAAGCCAACAAGGGGGATAAGCAAAATACCTAACAACTCAACCAACATGCTTGACAACTGTCTCGAACATCAAGCGCCTCGAGAATCAAGCGAAACGCATCGAAAATAAAGCGTCTCGATGTTCGGACATGACTGGTGAAGACGATGATGACGGCGATGACGATGACGAGCATGATGGCGATGTTGGTGGTGACGATGATGACGATGCTACACTTGGTTGCCATCCCTCATTCTGGACGGTCAAACACGGGCGTTCCGAAATGGAATTAGGAACACGGTTTTCAGACCATTCGTGGCTTGCGTATTGATAGCGACGTCCTGGAAAAGTAGTAGTAAGGATGCAGATGGCGCTGCAGAATTGGCGCCTGCGGCCGGCATGACCCCTTCGGGTTTTTTTCATGATTATGAGTAGCTGGGCCAAGTACGTATTCAAATAAGTAGTTGAGCCAACGGGCCATTGAGTGAGGGGGGCGAGGAGTTGGGGGGGCGAGGCGAGGGTGAAGAGGACGAGGGGGGGGGACGAGGAGCAAGGCAGAGCAAGGCATGGCATGAAACGAATGGGGGAAAGATGTGATGAGAGGAGGAGCGAGAAGAACTGAGATGGGTAGGTGGGCCTTGCCTGCAAGGGCCCCCCTCCGCCGAAAAAGTCAGAGGTTCCAGGATTCGGTTAAAAACTGAACCTCTGACTTTCGTGCTTTTCCTCACGACGCCAGAATCGAGACGCCCCTAAGGGTTCCCCCCCTCCGCGATGATGGTGATTACTACGGCGATCAAGCGGCGAAAACGGGTGCTAGGCCATGCCATTCCCAAACGCCCATGCCATTCCTCGTCCCCTGCATCGTTTCAAAAGCTCTCAAAAGCCCATGCCGTTCCTCGTCCCCTGACTGAATCGTTTCTAATAATGCTTCTGTTCTGCGCCATCGAAACAGATGATGTTCTACAACCACAGAGAGGTCGGTAGGTTGGGAAGTAAGGGAAGGGAGGGGTAGATGAAGGCAGGGTGAGGAGGACGATGAGGAGGAGGAGACAGGGGAGGAGGAGGAGGAGGAGGAGGACAATAATAAGCAAAGTACCCTGGCATCTGTAACCAAATTACTTAACATTCGTCTGACAAGAAGAGTCCTTCTAAGAGGTCTCCAGTATGGCCCCAGATCGGCCCAAGAGGCCCCCAAGATGGCCACAAGAGGCCCCCAAAACGGCCCAAGAGCCCTCCAAGACGCCCAAGATGACTTTCAAGACGGCCCTGGAGCACCCCAAGAAAGCCCCAAGTCGGCTCAGGGAGGCCCCCAAAACGGCTTCCGACGGCGTCAGACGGGCCAGGAGCCCACCAAGACTGCCAAAGAGGCCCCCGAGAAGCCCCCAAAGGTCCAAGAGGCTCCCAGGAAGCTCCCACGAGGCCCCAAGAGGGTCCCCAGAGGCTCCCAAGATGCCTCCTCCTCCTCCTCCTCCTGCTCCTCCTGCTCCTCCTCCTCCTCCTCCTCCTCCTCCACCTCCTCATCCGCCTCCTCTTGATTTTCCCCGCCATCCTCCCCGAAGTGTTCCCCGACAGGTTTCCACAACGGTTGGGGAAGCACACTGCCCGATACCTTGGCAGAGCTTTTGCCACAACGTTCGGCCACATGGGCGATTCTAGAAGGCGGGTGGCGGCGGCGATTCGCCGTAGGCGTCTTCGATAACGACAACGTCTCAATATGTGCTGATGATTCCGATCCGCCCCCCAATTCAGTTTTCAGATGCGCCAAGGCAACGCCGAGACGCACCTACGTAACTCGGATGTGTCCCATGATGATACAGAAAAGGGGGGGCGGCGGTAGGGGGTGAACCCTTTATGTAAATGCACATATATATATATATATATATATATATGGACGGTCCTCTGTTATGGTAGAATCGAATGTGAAATCAGAGCAGCCACTTGATAATATCGCATGGCAATATAGTAGAGCACCCAATAGGTAGCAAATGAAGTATACTACCGTAGACTATAGCAGCTTACAGTGTGGTTCCGTATACTATGTTATGATGACTTGAACTGTTGCGTAACAACCGCATGAGTTGATAACCTAAAGTATAGTACGGTATACGTTGGTGCCGTACACACATACATAATATGTGTAGCACATGATGCTGGAAATATTTATATATATTTATATATATATATATATTACAATATGATACACCATAATTTATCAGAAATGACCCAGTCTACTGTGATAACAGAGTCTGACATCATTTGGTTCACACGGACTGCGTACAATGCATGAGCAATGCATTCTACTATAGACGTTGCTTGTGAAATTACCCTGTGACGTACCCAACCCATTTGTACCATGGGAAACGAGGAAGTGGCCGAAACTTGCACGGACAATCAAATTGCAGGATCCGTTGTTTGATATGTAAGCTACTTGGGACACGCGCCGATGGAATGATGCGCAAGAGAACCATACAAGAACGAGGGGCGACAACTACAAGCTCGAAGAGGACATCGGGAGTTGGGAA